CGGCCTTGGGCTCGGCGGTGTCCTCCAGCGCGCACAGCCGCTGCGGGAGCGCTTCCAGCTCGACCGTGAGCTCAGCGCCCTCCTCGAGCGCGCCCTTCCGCTCGGACAGCTTCGCCAGGTCGCCCTGCAGCAAGCCGAGCTGCTCCGAGAGCGCGGAGCTAAGCGGCGTGCGCCTCGCGTCGGCCGCCTCTGGCAGCTCACGTCGCGGCGGGGCCGGAGGGGAGGGCCGCGCGGGCACCTCGCACTCGCAGATCTCGACCTCGCACACGACGGCGGCCGCCGCCCCCCGGCCGAGCACGCCTCCAAGGCGCGGACCCGCCGCCGCCCAGGCCAAGCCAGCCCGCGGTGCCGCCGCAAACCCCGCTGCAGGCGCACGAGCCGCGTGCAAGGCCGTGTTCCGGCGGAATCTCACGGCCCCTGGCACGGGCCGGCCGCCAGAGGCCAGGATCAGGGCGGGCCGAGCGGCAGCCTCCCTGTCCTGCCACGAGCCAGGCTCGGCAGCAGGCACGCCACCCGTGAGGCCCGCGATGACCTCCCTGAGGCGCGCGACCTCCTTCTCCAGCTCGCCGGCGCGCGCGCGGGCGTGCCGCACGGCCGCATCGGCCGCGGCACGGGCTCGCCGCGCAGCCTCGCTGCGCTCGCCGCGCGAGCGGGGGAACCGCGGAGGGTCCCCTCCCGTCGCCATCGCTCCCAAGCACACGCTGCGCGCGCGCGCCCGAGCAGGCTTGAGCCAAAATGGCTACGGAGCCTTGCTCCTTTGTGGTTTGCCGCGCTCCTGTGTGGTCTGCCGTGCTCCTGTGTGGTCAGCAGACCCAGGGCTGAGGGAAGGCTGGAGCAGTGCTCTGGTGGTCCTTCACCCGCCCAGCTCCGTCCCCTCCCACTCTGGACCGATCTTGCGGGAAGCTGGCTTGTGGCAGCGCATCGCGCGTCCATAGCGTTCGTGTGCTTGCTTTTACCTCCTTTAATGTCTGCTCCACCTCTCCTTGAGACGCAGAAGCCTCCGAGCGCCGGGAGCAGAAATGATGCACTTTCGAAAAATCTGTTTGGATGAGTTTTGTTAGCGCGGCCTCGAATTCAATTTTTCCGGCGACGGCCAGAGCCGACGCCAGCGCTGGATCCGGCTCGGCCGCCAGCCCAGGTGCCGGCCCGGGCGTTCGGTTCGAGCGCCGGCCTGGGTGCCGGAATCGGCCCGGAAGGGGTTCCAGGGCGCCGGGAGCAGAAAATCAATATTTTCGAAAGAAAAATATGTCTTGGAGTGGCCTTTTTTCCGCACCGCCTCGGAATTCAATTTTCCGGCGCCGGCCGGCGCCGGAACCGGCCCGGGCGCTGGCCCGGGTGCTGGCCCAGGCGTTCGGCTCGAGCGCCGGCCCGGGTGCCGGAAGCGGCCCGGAAGGGGTTCCCGGGCGCCGGGAGCAGAAAATCAATATTTTCGAAAGAAAAATATGTCTTGGAGTGGCCTTTTTTCGGCACCGCCTCGGAATTCAATTTTCCGGCGCCGGCCGGCGCCGGAACCGGCCCGGGCGCTGGCCCGGGTGCTGGCCCGGGCGTTTGGCTCGAGCGCCGGCCCGGGTGCCAGAAGCGGCCCGGAAGGGGTTCCCGGGCGCCGGGAGCAGAAAATCAATATTTTCGAAAGAAAAATGTTTCTTGGAGTGGCCTTTTCGGCACCGCCTCGGGCCCCGGGGCCCGTTTGCCGGCCCTCGAGCGAGCCGGGCCCGGGTGCCGGAATCGGCCCGGAAGGGGTTCCAGGGCGCCGGGAGGAGAAAATCAATATTTTCGAAAGAAAAATATGTCTTGGAGTGGCCTTTTTTCGGCACCGCCTCGGAATTCAATTTTCCGGCGCCGGCCGTGCTCCTGCGCGGTCTGCCGTGCTCCTGTGGCGTCTGCCGTGCTCCTGTGTGGTCTGCCGTGCTCCTGTGGTCTGCCGTGCTCATTTGGGGTTTCCCGCGAGCTTGTGGGGTCTGCCGTGCTCCTGTGGGGGAAACGCCAGCGGCGTTCGGGGTACAACAAAAGGCGCGTTTATGTTGTACCTGCGCGCGGTCTGCCGTGCTCCTGTGGGGATTGCCGTGCTCCTGTGTGGTCTGCCGTGCTCCTGTGCTGCCGTGCTCCTGTGGTCTGCCGTGCTCCTTTGTGGTTTGCCGTGCTCCTGTGGGGTCTGCCGTGCTCCTGTGGGGTCTGCCGTGCTCCTGTGAGGTCTGCGGTGCTCTTGTGTGGTCTGCAGTGCTTCTGTGGTCTGCCGTGCTCATTTGGGATCTGCCGTGCTCGTGTGGTGTCTGCCGTGCTCCTGCGGGATCTGCTGTGCTCCTTGTGTCGTCTCTTTGGTCTGCCGTGCTCCTTTGTGGTCTGCCGTGCTCTTGTGGGGTCTGCCGTGCTCCTGTGTGGTCTGCCGTGCTCCTTTTTTTCCGCCTGCCGTGCTCCTGCTCATTTTCTGAGGACGTCCCGAGCGAAAACGTCATTTTTAACATAAGAGGTTGTAAAACACCTCTGTCGGCATCTCATTTTTTCGAGGATGTCTCGAGCGAAACGCTCATTTTTCATGCACAGCAAAAATTTTTGACATTTTTGAACACCCCGACTTTCTGAGGATGTCTCGAGCGAAACCGTCATTTTTAACATAAGACGTCTTAAACGATAGCCTCCAACACCTCGATTTTTCGAGGATGTCTCGAGCGAAATGGCCATTTTGGGGAACCTGACCGGACAAGAACGGGAAGCGCCGTTTTTTATCCACCACGTGCGTCAGAGACCGTATTGGCGAGAACGTCAGAGAAACCCATAAACGCAACAGAACAGACTAAATGATGGCCTGCCGCGTTCCGACGGCCCAAGACGGCCCAAGAGGCCCCCAAGATCGCTTTAAGATCGCCCAAGAGGCCTTCAAGATGGCCCCGAAACGGCCCAAGAAGTCCCCAAGACGGTCCCAAGAGGGCCCTAACACGGCGCAAGAGGCCTCCAAGACGCCCAAGATGTCTTCCAAGACGGCCAAGATGGCCTCCAAGACGGCTAAGATGGCTCCAAGAGGGCCCCAAGACGGCCCAAGAGGCCTCGAAGACGGTCTGCCGTGCTCCTGTGGTCTGCCGTGCTCCTTTGGGGTCTGCCGTGCTCCTGTGGAGTTTGCCGTGCGAACGTGTGGTCTGCCGTGCTCCTGTGTGGTCTGGCGTGCTCCTGTATGGTCTGCCGTGCTCTTGTGTGGTTTGCCGTGCTCCTGTGTGGTCTGCCGTGCTCCCGTGGGGTCTGCCGTGTCCTGTGTGGTCTGCCGTGCTCCTGTGTGGTCTGCCGTGCTCCTGTGTGGTCTGCCGTGCTCCTTCTTGGTCTGCCGTGCTCATGTGCGGTCTGCCGTGCTCCTGTGCGGTCTGCCGTGCGAACGTGTGGACTGCCGTGCTCATTTGGGGTCTGCCTTGCTCCTTTGTGGTTTGCCGCGCTCCTGTGTGGTCTGCCGTGCTCCTGTGTGGTCAGCAGACCCAGGGCTGAGGGAAGGCTGGAGCAGTGCTCTGGTGGTCCATCACCCGCCCAGCTCCGTCCCCTCCCACTCTGGACCGATCTTGCGGGAAGCTGGCTTGTGGCAGCGCATCGCGCGTCCATAGCGTTCGTGTGCTTGCTTTTACCTCCTTTAATGTCTGCTCCACCTCTCCTTGAGACGCAGAAGCCTCCGAGCGCCGGGAGCAGAAATGATGCACTTTCGAAAAATCTGTTTGGATGAGTTTTGTTAGCGCGGCCTCGGAATTCAATTTTTCCGGCGACGGCCAGAGCCGACGCCAGCGCTGGATCCGGCTCGGCCGCCAGCCCAGGTGCCGGCCCGGGCGTTCGGTTCGAGCGCCGGCCTGGGTGCCGGAATCGGCCCGGAAGGGGTTCCAGGGCGCCGGGAGCAGAAAATCAATATTTCGAAAGAAAAATATGTCTTGGAGTGGCCTTTTTTCCGCACCGCCTCGGAATTCAATTTTCCGGCGCCGGCCGGCGCCGGAACCGGCCCGGGCGCTGGCCCGGGTGCTGGCCCAGGCGTTCGGCTCGAGCGCCGGCCCGGGTGCCGGAAGCGGCCCGGAAGGGGTTCCCGGGCGCCGGGAGGAGAAAATCAATATTTTCGAAAGAAAAATATGTCTTGGAGTGGCCTTTTTTCGGCACCGATGTCAGATGAAGTCACTTATTGTCTGCTTTTTGAAAAGGGGGTCGGACACCGAAAAACGCGCAGGTTTTCTTCAGCACAGTGTTTCGCCAGGCGCCAGGCGACCGAGAAGGCCGTTCATCACCGAGCTCAACCCGCGCAGCCTGGGGGGTAGGAGAGAGGGGGCGGGAATGGCGGGGGGGGGATCGGGAGGGGATGCCATGCGCATTGGCGGCACACCGCCCGCACTTCTCATCGCGGCGCGTTCTGATGTGATTCGTTTCGGCGGCCCACCGCCCACGTCTTGCAAATTCTGAGCAGTTTTATCGCATTGGCGGCGCACCGCCCATCGCTATGTTTTGCCCGCGTATTGCAATTTGTACGTTTTGCACATGTTGATTGAAGTTTCGTCGCGTTGGCGGTGCACCGCCCACGTTCCCTTGATTGCGCGAATCGTTTCTTCACGCATCGGCGGAGCACCGCCCACGCAGCACGTTTCATCCGAATTCGTCATCGAATTTGGCGGTACACCGCCCACGTCCCCGTGATTGCGCGATGCGTTTCTTTCGCGTTGGCGGTGCACCGCCCGCGGCGCATGCTTCGCCCGAGTTTGTCATCGCATTTGGCGGCCCACCGCCCACGTCACCTTGATTGCGCGAGGTGTTTCTGCATTCGTTGGCGGTGCACCGCCTTCGGCGCACGTTTCATCATATACCGTTTGATTGGTCGCATTGGCGGCGCACCGCCCAGGAGGGGGGAGGAGGGGAGAGGGGGGAGGAGAGGATAGCAGAAGGAAGACGTGAAGGGCCATGCCATTTCCCTTCGCCACAATACGCTGCCCCTGTCCCACCGAGCGCTTCTGGAGGGGCCGCGGGGCGGGCGCCCCCCGACGCGCCGCGGCGCGATGGAGCGCGTCCAGGCTGCCCTGGGCGAGGCAGCCGCGGCGCTTGCAGCGGCGAGCGGGCCTTCCAGGGGCGCTGCAGAGCAGCTGCACTTCGGGAAGGTGCGCGCGCTCATCGAAGGCCAGAGGTGAGGCTCGGGTCAAAGATCTCGCACGGGCGAGAGGCCATCCGTTCCCCCTTCGAGGAGGTCCCCGCCTCCGTTCGGCGGAACGCCGCCCGCTCCCCCCTCCTCCCCGCCGTCTAACATTCCCCCGTCGTTTTGCAGGTGGACGGCCACGGAGAAAGGGCAGCTGCTGACCGAGCTCGGGCAGACGGGGTTCAGTCACGATTTGGTCGGCGCCGCGACCGAGTGGCTCTGCGGGAGGCGCACGAAGGCCAAAGGGCAAAGTTACGAGTGCTTCGTGGAGTTGCTTACTGCCTCCACGTGGCACGTGCTGCTGAGCCCAACCGAGTCGTTCGCTTCGAAATTTGTCATGTTGATGCGCCACTTGGAGCGCCTCGGGCTCCGGAACCCTTCCGAGCCGACGTTTGGCATGCTAGCCGCGTTCATGTTCCTGGCGTGCCAGCGATCAGGCATCGAGAAGAATTCGCCGACTCCGCAGCTCTTGGACGTGTACTTGCAGTTGGTGAAGACCACGTGGCGTTCCCCTGCCTACACAGCTGCTCGAGGCAAGGCGACCGAGTTTGTCGGCGCGCTCTCCCCCTCGGCGGCGCTGTTCCAGCAGGAGAGGCCGACGCTGTACGAGCAGGCGTTCGCCTCGGAGGGGCCCGTGCAGCCGACAATTGGGCTTCTCGAGACGCAGATCCTCGGGAAGCTCATCAGCTTGCGCGGCAACAGGAACGCAGCGCTCGGCGCCCAGGCAACGCCGCAGCGGGCGGCGTTGCCGCCGATCGCCTTCGCGCCTCTGCCGCCGCCTTCTCCGATGCAAAGCGTTGCGGTTGCAGCCGCGACGATTGCCGCGACGCCTCCCTTGGGAGCCGCGACGCCAGCGGCGTTGCCGTTGGGGGTGATCCCAACGCACAACACCCGCGGCGGGTGGCCGAACCCAGCGGCGGCCGCCCTCGTCTCGCAGCGCGGGCCGACGACTCCCACTCCAGCAGCTCCCGCGGGCAAGCCTGCCGCGATGTCGGGAGCGGCGCCTGCGGCCGCGGCCTCAAAGTTGGGCGGTGGCGCCAAGGTCAAGGCATCGGCCGTTGACGTCATGGTGCTGAGCTCGAGCGAGTCCGAGGTGGACGCGAAGGGGGCGCCGCAGAAGAAGGCAAAGGTTTTTGGACGGTAACCTGGGCCCGCCTCCGCGGCCTCCGCGATTCACGGGGGCGCGCCTCTGCCCAAGGCAGCGGCGCGCCCTCTGCGGGGCGTCGCAGGCGCGGCGATTGGTTATTGCCACTTGCCGCTGTCAAGGTGGATCCGACACTGCCGCTGGCGAAGCTGCCTGCCGACGCTGCCCTGGTTCTCCTCCAAGCGGCGGGGCAACGTACTTCCTCTGGCTGGAAAGCGGAGAAGGGCGAGAAGAAGCGGAGGAAGTCCGACGCAGTGGCGGCCTTGGCGAAGACAAAGGCTTCAGATGGCACGGCGAAGCCATCGGCGGCGAAGGCAAAGGCAAAGGCAAAAGCCGAGGCAACACCGAAGAAGATTGCGAAGGCGAAGGCGGCAGCATGCAAGCTGAAAGCACCGCGGTATGACGACGAGACCACTCGCAGCCAGATTCTCTTCAGGAGCGGGCGCAGCGGGCCAGGCGGCACCAAGAGCAAGAAGTACAGGAACGGCAAGGAGAAGGACACTTTTGGGTCCCATCTCCTCCAATCGGCGTGGCCACGGGGCTCGATGCGTGGCAGCGGGAGCGCGTTGTTGCGGCCGCGCGTGGCCTCGCTCCAATCATATGCGCAAAGAGACCCCGCGGGCCACTTTGCGTTTATGACGGTTTTCATCTGCCACTCAGGAGGCCGCCATCGCCTGGGCCAAGGCGCTGGTGCAGAGCGAGCTGGAGGCTCGCAAGGGCGAGTTCTGAGGCGACCTGCTTCGGTGGCGCGATGCATGACTCTCAGTCGGATTTGCCGCGGGCGGCGCGTGGGGCGCGCAGCCTGCGTTCAGAAAACAAGGAACTCGGATCGAAATCGGATCGTAATCTCATCGGGCCTTGCTTGTCCTTGCGCTGCTCAGGCGGTTCTTCGTATTTCTTGGAAGGTTTGCCTGGCGGTGCACCGCCTCCATCTGTTGTCGGCGGTGTTCCGCCTTCGCTGGTTCCATTACCATGGGCGTTCTCATTTCTCTGACCGCTGCCTCGCCCTTGCCCGCCTCCCTCCGCCGCTCCCCCCGCGCCTTTTCAATTCAAGCAGCCCTCCCCGCGGGTCCCGCGGCGCCCCTCCCCGCGCCGCTGCCGCCAGCGGCCGCGGGCGCTTCGCGGGCGCATGGCGAGCGAGGGCGCGGCCAGCAGCGCCATGGACAACTCCGCGGAGGCGCTGGGAATTCAGAAAACGCCTGCTCAGCCCGAAGCGTCCGCTTGGGCAGTGCAGGCTGATTTCCTGGATTCCTGTTGAGGTGCACACGGCGGCTTCAGATGCGAGCCAGTCGCTTTTCGAGCAGGTCGCCGAAGCCTTGAACCTCTTCGATATGTTCGCCCAGGCTCGAGGGAAACGGATCGAGCGCGCCCGACGCCCATGCGGCCCCGCCCCCGTTCGCCCGCGTGCCTGGATGCAGGCGGCGGCGGGGCAGGGCCCAGAAGCGACGGTGCTCTCGGCGTTTACCTTGCCTTGCGCAGGAGGCAGGCATGGATGACATCATCGCCGATCCCGCGCCGCCAGGCTGGCAGACGGCGGAGTGCCCTGGCAGCAGCAGCAGCGACCCCTCGCCAGAGGCGAAGCAAGGACCGACGCTCATCCCCGTCCACAATCAGGGCGCGGCGCCGAAGTCGCCGCCACGTCGCACCCGAGACGCTGGCGGCACGTGGCGGGCGGAGCAGCAGCAGCAGCAGCAGGAGGTGCAGCAGCAGCAGGAGGTGCAGCAGCAGCCGCCGTCGGAGAAGCCTCAGCCGCCGTGGCGCCAGGCGCAACCGCCAGCAGGCGCGCCCAACGTGGGCGCCTCAGGCGCGCCCAACGTGGGCGCCTTCGTCGCCAAGGTACCCGAAGTGCCGAAAGCGTCTGCGGCGCCAGAGGACGTGGTGCAGGCGTACAAGTTCTTGCGCTCGCTGCTGAGCGAGAGCGCGCCGATCGCCTGGAACTCCAAGCGCGTCCAGGAGCCACTGGAACTGCTGCAGCGCTACGTCGGCATCTGGGGTCGCGCCAGCAGGGGGCCGCCCGCGCCCATGCACGGTGGCCCGCAATTCTGGCGCGGCCAGACGTGGCGCAAGAGCGGGAAGCGCTGGGGCAACCGTGGTGGTTCAGGCCCCAAGTCGGAGTGGTACGCCTCCAAATACGGCCGCGCGCCACCGCGCCGCTCGCTCCAGGACAGCGGCGGCGGCCCGTACCTCGCGCCGACGCCGCCGCCGCCACCGCCGCCACCGCCGCCCCCGCGGCCGACGGCCGCGAGTTCGGCGCCCGCGGCAAAGGCAGCGGCCGCGCGGCCGCCTCCACTGCCCCTGACGGTCAAGGCGATGCCTTCCAAGAACCGCGGGCTGTACCTCTGAGACTCGCGGGCCGCGGGCTTTGACAACCCCCTCGGAGGTCAGACGCCGACTGAAACATCCATGAGGGGCGGGGGGACGTGAGAGCGGAGAGGTGATGGACGGTGAGCCAGGAGACAAATGGAAAGAGAGCGGAGTGGAAGTTTCAGTCGGCATCTGATTTTCCGATTTTCAGGTGCCGTTCTTCGCCGCTGGCGGCTGTCGCGGTAGGCGTGCGCCGCGCTCGCGGGACCGTTCGCGAATATCCTTTTGCGCGCGTCGCCAGCAAAAAATCGGCGGGGCACCGCCTGTCATGGGCTCTCGTCGGCGGCACTCCGCCTAACTTCGGCGGTGCACCGCCCGCGCGCGCTGGACTCCCAGCACTCCCCCCCATTCAGCTTCGGCGGTGTACCGCCTGTGCGTGCTCCACGCTGCACGCCTCCTCCATTCCTCTTATGATGTTTTCCGCAGCCGCAGGCTCCAGGCTGCGCTTGCGCCGCGCTTTTCCCGCGCGCGCCTTCGCGGGCGCCCATCCGCCGTCCTCGGCGCGCTCTCGCAGCCTTCGCGGCCGCCTCCCTTCGCGCCGTCTTTGGCGCGCTCTCGATCGCGGGCCTCCAGTGCGCCATCGAGCTCTTCTCTTCGCGAGATGCCCATGATCAGCGTCTTCGGGTGCACGTGCCCGTTGTCGGGGACCTGCTCGAAACGCGGGAGTTTCTTCAAGGGCGCGTCGCGAGATGAGGCCCTGTCGAGGCTCAAGACGCACTTGGTGAAGTCGAGCTACCACCTCCTCGAGGATGTCGACGCGGATCTTCAACTGGCCATCGCCGAGGTCGGCGCGCCCAAACGATTGCTTGCCCACGTCTTTCGGCGAACCTCGGTGGCGCTCGGCTCACCGAGGTCCGAGCGCCTTCGAGGTTCGACGAATGGCGCGAGCGATCGCGGGGCGCGCTTGAAGGTCGAGGAGTGGACTGAGGACACGGACGAGTGGGAGCGCTGGCAGAAGGCCAACGACGAGCAGTGGTGCAAGAACAACCGCCGCCGTGGCGCTCGCAGTGCGCCGTACCAGCCTCCCGAGCAGGTCGCTCCACTCAGCCAGAGTGCAGTGGCGGCGGCCTTCCCGAAGGGCAGCGGCAAGGGCGGTCCGCTTCAGCTCAACATGAGCGGAGCGAGCTCGCCCGTCAGCGCCAACATCGCGCCCGAGGCCACCGTGCAGCTGAACTCAGCGCAGGCGCAGGTGATCCTCGACAGCGTCACGAGGGCGAGGATGTGCTCGGCGGCCTGCCTGGCAGTGGCGGAGCGGTCGGCCGTGGCGTTCCGCGCCGAGCAGGCGGCCCTCGCCGACCTGCAGGAGACGCTGGCCAGCTGGCTCTCCAACAACGCGTCGTGAGGCCACGTTGGGGTCCTCCCGTCGCGGCGGCGTCGGCCGCCCCCTTCGGCCGCCTCGTCGGCCGCCCTCTTCGGCCGCCTCGTCGGCCTAGCAGCCCGCCGCGCCGCCCGCGCAGGGCTTGCATCGGCCGCGTAGGCCGCCTTGGGCCCCGCGGGGGTTCGACGCCGACTGACAGATCGGGGAGGGGCACGGTGAGGGAGGTGCGGAGGGAAGGGGCATGGAGAGGAGCATGGGAGGGGGTGCGGCATGGGGAGGGGCATGAGAATCGGGGTGGGGCGGAAAGGCTGTCGGTCGGCTTCTGACCCCCGCAACTCTTCGGCGCATCCGCGCGGTCGCTCGCGCGCGCGCGGGCCGTGCGCGCACTCTTATCTTTGGCGGATCCGCCATTCTTTCTTGGAAAACTGCGATCATCATCATCAACATCATCGTCATCAACATCACCACCATCATCATCATCATCATCATCATCATCATCATCATCATGAGTAGCATTGCCATTCTCATCCTCATCATTCCGATCACCCCCATAGGAGGAGAAGGAAGAGGAGGAGTGGTGGCGAGGAGAGGGCGAGGAAGAGGAGGAGGGGAATGAGGAGGAGGAGGAGGAGGAAGGGGGGGGGAGGAGTCCTTCCCCACCATTTTTCATCATCATTCTCACCGTCATCATTCCGATCACCACCATCGGAGGAGGAGGGGGAGGAGGAGGAGGAGGAGGAGGAGCAGCAGGAGGAGGAGTGGTGAGGAAAGAGAATGAGGATGAGGAGGAGGAGAGGGAACGATCTCGGCGCGGCTGCGATGAGGGCTGGTTTCCTCGCGGCGTATCGCGGCGTATCCTGGCGTATCCTGGCGTATCCTGGCGCATCGCGGCGTATCGCGCGACGGCGCGACGCGATGCGCCAGGATACGCCAAGATACGCCGCGATACGCCAGGATACGCCAGGATACGCCCGTATCCTGCCGTATCCTGGCGTATCCTGGCGCATCGCGGGGTGCCGCGGAGCGCGATACGCCAGGATACGCCAGGATACGCCGCGATACGGGCGTATCCTGGCGTATCGCGGCGTGTCCCGGCGCATCCTGGCGCATCGCGGCGCGCCGTCGCGCGATGCGCCAGGATACGCCAGGATACGCCAGGATACGCCGCGATACGCGGCGCAGGAACGCAGCCCTCAGCGCAGCCGCGCCGAGCTCGTTCCGATTCGTCGGAATCGCCATCACCATCACCATCGCCATCTCGCCATCTCACCTTCACCACCACATCACCATCGCCACCTCGCCATCACCACCTCACCATCACCAGAAATCATCGTCAGCACCTCGCCACCACCGTCATCGTCACCACCAGCATCATCGTCGTCACCGCCATCAGCATCACAACCTTACCACCACGTAGTCGTCGGCGGCGCACCGCCCATCGGTTGGACTTGTCCGCTGTGCTCCGCCCTTTGTTTTGTTTGACGTTTCCGTCGGCGGTGCACCGCCCATTGCCTGGTTGCACAATTTCGTCGGCGGCGCACCGCCCATGGATCGTCGTTGTCGGCGGCGCACCGCCCATAGTATGATTAGACAATTTCGTCGGCGGTGCACCGCCCATCGGTTGGACTTGTCGGCGGCGCACCGCCCAATTTATGATTGGGCAATCTCGTCGGCGGTGCACCGCCAATGGGTCGTCGTTGTCGGCGGCGCAGCGCGCATTGTATGGTTGCACAATTTCGTCGGCGGCGCACCGCCCTTCGATCGTCGTTGTCGGCGGCACACCGCCCATTGCATGGTTAGACAAGTTCGTCGGCGGCGCACCGCCCATCGATCCTCGTCGTCGGCGGCGCACCGCCCATGGTTTGCATGTATATTCGTGAGCGCCACGCCGATCATTTGTTTTCCTTGTCGCGGCTGTCGCATCGCGCCGCGCGTTTTCGGCGGCGCACCGCCTGTTGTTCCAATTGTGTAGGCTGTGTTGCGCAGCCTTGTCCACTTCTCCAGAACCAACCTGCTCTCTCATCCGCCTTGCCCCTTGTTCCCTTTC